GGGTTCCATTTGAAATAAGCAACTTTTTGAGGTTTAAAAACATGCAAGTTTAGAGGCTAATTGCGCGGTTTAGAAGTATTTCCTTATAATTTAAACATATCTACGCGTAGATCATGATGTTCTGTTAGAATCGCTGAAAACTGTTTTCCAAAATTCGCAGAGGGTAGTGTACAGCATCGATTTCTGTGGAACCCAGTAGCTGTCAAAACTTTCACATTTTTACGAATAACTCGGAAATCGTAAATTTTTCAGGTAAAACGTTTGACACAAACTTAACTTTACTTAACTAACTTAAGTAATTTTAGAATGTGGACCTTTTAAACGTGAAAAACTTTCGTTGGACGAATTTTCTTGTAAACTTCATATTTACTGAGATATCGCACTTTGACGCACTAATGAGCAACCCTGTATATTTACACGATTATTCGAATATCCGAAGCATGAAACCTTTCAAAGCAAATTTCAGTTTTACATTGCATTTTATAACATTATAAATTGGACTTTCAAATTAGTGAATGTGTTATTTGATCGTCGCTAATATGGGCTTAATTCACTTTTTCAATCTGCAAAACGGTTTCAATGGATTCATTCAGAAAGTTATTTTAAAAACAACTTCTCAGGGTTGCAACGTAAATAACATGAAAATCTTTTTTTATCACGCTCTCTCATGGTGCATATCGCGCACTTTTATTTCTTAAAATGTTTCGAAACCAGATTTTGTTTATCATTAATAAATAATGCGATGCCGTTGCGGTACTACTAACATATCTTACTTGTATTAGGGTATTATTTCATTCTATGCTTGGAGTGAACATATTTTGTTTTTGCCAAAGTCCAAGAAAACATTATTTTGATGATTAAACTTGCAAGAATTTTTTTATGGGTGCATGAATGGAAAATAATGCCATTTCTTTGGTCAAAAAATAGCTAAATATACAATTTTTTGTGAATTTTTGCGACGCAATATGGCTGGCATGTTGGTTTTGGGTTTGAGTGAGAATCAAATTCTTAAGGTTGATTGATGTGAAATAAAGACAATACGATATATTTGAAAAATACAGTTTAATAAACATCACATAAAAATAAATATCATTGCAGATGGATTAAATCACATCGTTGTTGCTGAAACAAAAACATATAATTAATAAAAATTCTATTTATGGCGCAGTTATTACACAATATTTAAATAATGAAATCAATTGTTTAGCAGCTACTAAAAAGCGTTCTGGATCAAACGATTTTAGATAAGAATTAGCAACGCTATCTCATGTCTGGCTATGATCACAGCACACATTATCTGAAAGATAATTAAATCAACACTAAACAGAGCTATGAATACTTACCATGCTGACATAATCGACCATGCCACCCCTTCTCACAGATACAAGCGGCTTCACCATCGGGAGCACAGGATCCATGTCGACAGTTTAGACTACATGCAGCCCTTGCAAGTTTAGCTCGGGCAACCTCACAGTGATCGCCTCTAAATCCTCGCAAGCATTTGCATTTATTAACTCCTCGACAACGTCCATCGTTCAAACATGGGATAATGCAACGGGAAAATTCACAACGAGGTCCATAGTAGCCTTTAGAGCACTCGCACGTATCTTTTTGCACGCATTTGCCTCCGTTCAAGCATTTCTTACTGCAGATACCTCCTTCACAGTGAGTTCCCTAAAAGTTGTAAAATGATGGAAGTGAGTGTTCTACGCCTACAGCGAGTAAATTTGTTACAGTTTACGACGCAGGTGGACTGTCGGATGTCCTGTTGGTAAAGGAAAAACGTAGACGAACAGGATGACATTAGGCAACAGCAGTAAAAAAGAATAGAGTTTCTCCTTATTTAAAATTCTAGAAATAGTAGGTTTAAAATGCCTTGCTTTTATAGCATGCGTATTCTCAACGCCCACAAATGCTTACACGGCGACTAAATGTTGCCTCACGTAAATAAGGGTTTAAGAAAAGGTAGATTCGTTGGTTTGCTGGTGCTGTAGGAAATGAGCAAAACGAATAGGAATATATTGAGGCAACAAATTTTGTACAGCGGCAAAACAGACAGAATAATTTTTCCTTATGTGAAATTCAAGCAGCGGTAGCCTGAGTTGAGTTTTGTAGCACTTTAAAAACGTGCATTTATTCGTAGATTATCTGACTTTCTAAACAAACCTTCCTTTACTTGCTTAACCGAAGTACTTTTTGGATCTATTGTGCACCTATTATTATCTATTAAATAGTTTGGGTTAATTTTTGAGTTGATTAGTTAAGATGGCACACAAATATTTCAGTGCAGGTTTGCAAAACTAATTTTGAACGCTAATTCGATTGTTTTAATTAAGAAGCACTTTTTCGGTACTCCATCTGGACAATTCGAAAGCAATTTAAATACCCAATTTGAAAACTTTGTTTTAGTATAGCTTTATTTGAACTAATGGAGGTCACAACTTTATCCAGTTTTGAATAACTTTCCATTTCATAAAATTGTATCGCCGTTTTTAGATCTCGCATAGATATTACGTACATCTCTAATATATAGCTCGAAATAATTACTGCAGAATAACGAAATGAGGTTACTACACATGTAGAGTAATATATGTTGTAGATAAATATAAGCTAAAGAAAAATTAAACATTGATGCAATCTATTTTTTGTATAAAACCCACTCGATTCAAGGAACCGTATTTCAAAACAGATTCAATGTTTATATTTGGGTGCAAGATCAGTTGAACTCTGGACTTTAGTAGAAAAATAGACTGTTTACTGCTGAAGCTATTTTTTACAGCAACGAATTTTCATTATTGTTTGGATTCGAATTCACACTATTTTTAGTGATAATTTGTATTCAATTAATACCAATCATTTAAAATGGTATATTTATCATATTTCTAATTATTTCGATAAATATGAAAAATGAAAATATCCATTCGTTATAAATTATTTCTTCTTTGGAAAAAGATAGTTCTAATAATAATAATGAAATACTAACTAAATACTTATTAATAATAAGTTTATGTTTATGTCCTTCAACAAGCTAGAAACAATTCTAAATATAAATCTTTGTAAAAAATCCCATATAAAGAATCAACCGCACATGCCTCTCCGATTGATTCAATAAAACAAACAAGTTTGATCAGAAATTTTAAATGGCACAATTTCGAATAACATTTAATGGATTGTTATTAATTCTATCTAGAATTCCAGAATCACCCCCAAACATTTTTGCGTCTATCCAGTTAAATAAATTTTTGTAATGGTAAAAAAAACTTCTTGGATGAAGAGAATATCTTCTTAGGCTTTTATTTAAATAGACAGGAAAAACAGTATTTATTTCGGCATTCTTAAGAGTCATAATGCGAATGTTTTTAATTAACATTCGTTGATACTGGGTATACTAGTATTTTTGCGCGCGGAAAACAGCAGTGAAGAGCGTGTATCATGCTCATATTAATATAATGTGAAACAGTATCTTTTGTAATGTAGAATTGTTTATGAACAGTGTGATTTAGAGGAACATCCGGATAAAAGACGCCAGGTGAGTTTATTGCACAGATTTGTACAAATCGGGACATAAACTATTACGAATTGATTGTATACTGGTTGTTACCACACCCTTTCGTGACCCAAATGCCGTGCGGTTGTAAAGAAAAGAAGATTTAACTAAGTTTAAAGAAAAAAAACCCTAGTTTACGAGTCGTTGTTGCTAAATATGTCAAGAAAGTGTGGAGTTCTTTGATAATTTTCAACAAGATCGACAATTTGAAAATATTTAAGTATTTGTAAGTAAGCCGGCTAACAGCTTTAACCGGTGGCTATTTTATTGATTCTTACATTTTTATGATATGTATTTTAAAGCGAAATAGTCTCGATACTAACAATCGGAACATTAAAGCAAAGCAAATTATATATTCCAGCAAGCAGTATACCTGCTTGCTTTCTATATTTTCTTCAACTATTCTTTCATACATGGAAAATTTTATATTAGGGAAAATGTGTTTCAACTTCAACTGTTCGGATCTTGAAATGATTCGTTTACGCAACTGAGTTTCATTTAATATCTGCACTATAAAAAAACTTGAAGACACCTCCAAAAGTGATAATTGAGAGAGTTGAGATCGGGAGAGCGAGGTGGCCATTGAACTTCCAACCAAACATGCAATAAAAAACATTCTATTTAGATTGAATGCCAAAACTAAACCTAATGCCATGTTCAAATCTACGAAAAAAACTGTTTTAGGCCCGCTTGCTTTGTTGTAAAAGCCACGTCGTACCATTGAAAGTTTCAATGAGCAACATACAATTAAAACACTGCAAAATAACCACTTTTATCTAGCAGGAATTTTTTCGTGGAAAACACCTGAGAATAAGGCGTTAAAAAAAATGGGGATTTTAAGTGACAACAAATTCCACTGTTTCTAACAGGTTGTGGTCTTGAATGAAAGTAGTAGAAATTTTGAGTTCCTGAACTCGAAAAGCCGGTATATCTTATTCACTTCGACACCCTGTATATTAACCACGGTGAAAAATCAAATTATGGAACTCGTGCTCATTTTGCACAAGAAACATGTAGTTAACGGAATGGCCGTAATTTTTGTAACACCCCGTATAATTTCGATATTTTGTGTGGTTTTTATAGGTTTATAGGTTTCAATGCCCCTAAAATATCGAGTTTTTTACAACTTTTTGTCCAACTTTTGTTCGTAGAATATGAAGTTAAAATGAATAAACTAAAATATAAATGCAGTAAATGCAGTTTGTCCATGGTTAAAATGTAAAAAAATTATATATGTTGTCACATACCTGGAAACCAGTAGGGCAACTACATACGCCGGGCGAAGTACAATTTCCTCCATTCATACATTGAGGATAGCATAAAGCAGTCTTACAGTATTGGCCCATATAACCTTCCGGACATTGGCAAATTTTTTCATTATTGCACCACCCTTGGTTCGCACACTTTTTGTCGCATTCCGGATCTGGACCTATTAGTATTAACACAAAAATGTATTTTCTTCCATTAAATATGTAATATAATAACTTACTTCTTTGGGAGATGGAACACTCTTTTTTCAGCTTCAGTCGCAGAGGTGTACCATTTAGAGACTTACCTTTTCTAGTTTCAATAAGCAAGCCAATTTCGAATCTAGCCTTGCCTGAGCTATTTCCTATGCATGGGAGGAATATACTAAACTCCTTTGGTCGCTTTGGGACTCTGCCTTTTGTTTTTATAGAGATTACTGGAGCCTCCAAAATGCTCTCATCATAAGATTGTAGTTTATCAAAATTGTAGTTATACTTTTTGTTTCCAGCTTTCCAAGTAAAATTAACGTAATTTACCTCAGATGGGATTACTGGCAGGTAGTTTTCAAAATTAGGGTCAAGTATGTATGGTAGAACATTTCCATTGACGATGGCATAGATTTCCATGGAGACTCCTAAAAGGTTTAATTTTTTTAAAGTTAATTAGTTGATTTGAATAGATAGTTGTATGCTTACCACTGAACATTTTAACTTGCTTTTCATCAATCCATAAAGTCAGGTCGCTGCTATTTCTTGGATCATTCTTGGGGTCATTTCGAGATAAAACTAGCGTGACAACAGTCAACGAGTAAAATAGCACATAGTACATCACAGTTCTGTTTTTATACATACTGAAAAGAACGTATTTTTGGTTAATGATGCAGAAAGCTACCACTAGAAGATGTGTGGTATGAGGATTTCAATTTGTATGTAATTTAATTTTGTCACTCTCTCGATCCATTAATCAGTAAAGCTGTTTCAATTTACCAACCCGCATTATTCAAATTAATAAGATCAAAAACTAAACGAATGCACTTACTTCTTATTAACTTCTTTATATTCACAAAATTGATGTAAGTTGTATTATATCCGTTATCTGATTAACAGTGGTAAACTAACGTAAAAAATTGTAATGATTAATTGAATCCACCTATTTATATAAAACTATTTACAGTTGCATTATCTAAAATAAAAACATTTTTTCCTCATCTGCACGGTACATGTCAGATTGATAATAAAAACAAAACATAACACACATGTTCCTTCACCTCTAACTAGATAATCCCATTTATTTATTCTTCTTTTTCCACGTGTGGAATACAAAAGAGAAACAAGATAAAAATAGGCGAGTAAACAAACCTGAATCTGATTTTATATCCTTATAAAATGTATAATATGGCACTATCAGCGCTATCACTTAAGGCAGCAAATGAAAGCATCTCCATTGATCACTCATTGCGGGTTCGTTACCGGCATGATTGTGGAGGGGTTGACCATAAACGCAATCAGTAATTGTTATTTAAATAGTTTTTGTTATTTATCATGTTGATGAAGACCTGCAGCATGACAACAGCGCAAGAATATATGTCATTCTGACTTCGTAAGCATACTCGCATGACTCGTAAAGGCAGACTTTTATAGACGCGTATAAGCATAAGCCGATGCATTGTGGCGTCACAGACTCGGGCCAGTTCTCCCAACTTCACTTTCTGCATCCAAACTATTTGTGTATGTTATATGTGTAACTTTTGTACCAATTGATTTCGAACTATACTCTGTTGTGATTAAGAGTTTTCCGAAGCTCAGTATTAAAGTTGCTGTTTCTTGGAAATAATTTCCAATGGTACTTAAGCCTAAACTATATTACCGTTATAATACCGGAATATACCGTTATAATACCGGTGGTTTTAAAAAAAATTTGGAACTCGTAAATATTTCGGAAACAAGTGATCCTGCAAAAAAATGTTTCAAATAAGAAGTTAATATCTGGGACATAATAATTTTCTTTAAATATAAAACTAACGTACTATTCGAATTATTGAGCTATCTCCTTAACTTTATCAGTCTTTAGTTTAATCTTATCTTTGGATTATACCACGAAGCAACCCAAGGTGCTCTAAATTGATCAAAATAATGGGATAATAGTTTACAAAAAAAAAAAAAGAAATGGTAAATATTATACCCTTACTTTAATCAAAACTAAAAAGAGGTATGTCATTGTTAATGATATAATTGAATTAATTATTCTGATTAAAGACGTAAATTACAAAAAAAGCTTCTAACTTTATTTAATGCGGATAATCCCGTTTTCAGCTCATCTATTTATTTATATAGTTTAAAAAACATTACATTTTCACTGTAAAATTATACTAATACTCGTATTATAAATATTCAAGAGTAAACCCTTCCTAAATATCTTCAATACCTTGCTCTAAATATATAAGCTACTTTAGAATAGAACGACGTACTATTCGAATCTCCAGTAAAATGTTATGGTTACCATTTGAAATTCTCATGGTACCCCGTGCTTAGTCCACAAGACCAAAATATTTAAGTTTCAAGATTTCAAAAAAAACACCCTGTATAATGCTAATAATAGCAGCAGTTAAATATAAATTAGGGCCACTTTAAATAGTTATAATTAATTGGCAAACAACTGAGAAAGGGAGTAAATTAAAGTTGAAACTCTATGGAAATAAGCACCTTTACTATTCAAAATTTAACGGGTCAATTTATAAATAAGTTAGGTGAAATCCAATGTGAATATATCTAATAATGTAATTTTGCCCCATCAGCAATTTAGAGAGATGGTCGACTATTCCTATCTTAAGGTGTCCTAAAAGTTGATTAATCTACATTTGGAATGTCAGATATTCATAGTTGACGTGGCTGATGTCATTAAAATCTTTATACAGGGTGTTCGGAAAATGCGTTAGGAGATTTTTAAGGGTGATTCTACATGCTAAAATAATCGTAGAAAGTCATGTAACAAAAATTCGAAATCTGAATATTTTCCGGGTTACTTATTTTTTCCTTTTTATTTTTGATCTATTCCTGGATCAAACTTAAAACCGGTTACAGGGTTTTATCATAGTGATCTCTAACTTTCTCACCAAAAATTGTTTTTCGACTCAGCCACTAGATGGCACCATACCTGTAATCCAAAATTCATTTTCCGCATATCATTTTTGAGACGCCAAATGTCACGAAAAATGTGCTCTTCACACGACTCGAAAAACCTCTTCGTTTAGGAGCAAAGCGACAATAAAGTTTTTATTGCCTCAACCCAGTGGTTTGATATTACCTATTTAATTGAAATTGGAATCGCAGCAACGCAAGTCGTCTGCAATACAATAATTACTATTAATTGTCGAATTTGGCACATTTTAAAACCAGATGACTTGATTTGCTGCAATTGCAATTCAATCTAAGAACCCTAGGTTGAGAGTGATACAAATGTTGATGTCAATTTACTCCTCAACAAAGAGGTTTTTCGAGTCGTGTGGAGAGCACATTTTTGTCTAGTATTTCAATAAAGATATACCTGCGAAAAATTAAATTAGGATTTCCGTTAAAGTGCCATCTAATGGTGAAGTGGAGAATTTTTTTTGTATCAGAAAGTTATAGATTTCTAAGGTAAAACTTTGTACCTGTACTTGCTATTTGATCCGCGAAGATAGATAGATAGATAAAATTTACTAAACATTCACATTGTCAGAAAGTCATACACAAAGTATCAATATGGTCACATGTTCGGCCGGTTGCTCCCTTTGCCCATGATCTAAATATGTCGTCCATTACGGGGGCAGTGCCATAACATGGACATTCTCGAGCTCGCCATACGCACAAGGGCGCATCCAGGGGGGGGTCATGGGGGTCATGACCCCCCCCCATTCAATTCTCTATCCAACGATGCCAAAACGAATTCTCTGGCTTGAATGGTTGGAAGCAGCGTCATGTTCAAGTGGATTTTGCAACTCAAAAAAAACCACGCAAATCTAAAACTTCTTGAATTCAAGCATTTTTTGAGAAAACTGCCAACATTTAATTTGGAATTTATTTCTGTCTAGAATTATGTACAAATGAGCGTTCTTGCTCATTTTGCCTCCGAGATATCAGCATAAAGGGGACGGAAAACATGAAATTTTGGCATAATCTTGAACCTAAGTCTTTGATATTCATATTTCGCTTTCTGGGTCAAAACTACTCGAATTTCCTCACTCAGGTTGTTACGACTGAACTCGAATGGTTCTTGAGTAACTTCGAAAAAAACAGCGTCATGTTCAAGTGGATTTTGCAACTAAAAAAAAACCACGCAAATCTAAAACTTCTTGAATTCAAGCATTTTTTGAGAAAACTGCCAACAATTCCCCATCGATGGTTCACTTTCTAAAAAGGCCATTTATTTCTGCCTAGAATGATGTACAAATGAGCGTTCTTGCTCATTTTGCCGTCGAGAAATGAGCAAAAACGGGACGGAAAACATGAAATTTTGTAATATTCTTACGCCACTCTTGCACAAAACGACGATAATTGATCTCATTTCATAGACAACAGAACACTGTATTTTTTCTACATAAAGTATAAAATATTTTTTTTACGAGAAGCGGTTTCGATTCTAAAGAAAGACATGTGCCAGGTGAGCCAAATTGTCACATTTAAATCGGAACCATCGTTTGCATTGGAGTAGATAAACCTTGTGTATTTGTGGGGAAAAATCAAACTTCTATACAGGGTGTCCTGAAAGATATACAAATATTGAAGGGCGTTCTTCTGCTTAGACAACTAACGATAATTGTCAAATGTAGTCCAAATATGTCCCATCAGGTGAAATTTGCGAAAATTGACTAGAAATGTTAAGAGAAAATTGGCAAAGATCTTCTTAGCAAGTTAAAAATTATTTTTGAATTGTCCGATTAATGAATGGAACATGAAATCCTTCGTGAGTTTTTCCAGCAAGGCTCTTGTTTAAATTTAGTAAAAATTCACATTATTGGTTGTCATCTGCTCATAAAGAACAACACACAATATGAGTATCACTTTGAAACTAAATCGCCTTCCACTTAGGTAATACTCGGAAGCGTGTTCTGTGTCTCATTGAATTACGCACTCCTTAAGAAATTTCTGAAGTATTCACCGATCTTACTTCAAGCAATAAACATTACGTTTCATGCCTGGCAAATATATTCAAAAGGTCGTTTGTACATGCACACATTTTAAACCCTTAAAAAACAATATAATTGGAATATATATGCAACACGCATAGGGAACTCTTCTGTGGATTCACAAATAAAACTCCATCATATTTATCTAATATTTATTTAAGTGGGATATTAACTAATCTAAAACACATTTAACGACTGATACATAGTACTACATTTAAGTACTTTTATTTGTTCTAAAATGGTTACGCATTATGAATATTTAATACCTTATTGCTTAATAGTTTAAAGACTTACTTCAGAATTGCAGATAATATAGGTTTGAAGTAGACTCTATTCTCAATCTATCAGACCACGTTTTGTGGAGGGAGATTTTGTACATTGTGTTAAAAATAGAAGTGTTAAAAAGTTATTTAGTGGGCACTAATGGTCTAATATAACAGGCAACAGGTTGACTATAAATTACAGTATATTATGTTATGTTTATCAGGACCTGTCCACGAATTAAGTGGATTTATCCACACCAATAAAAAAACCTTCTAGAAGAAGTCGAAAATCTTATAAAGAAATAAAGGATGGTTGCTAGTTGGATATGATCTCATACAATCGAATAAAGGGTGTTTTTTAGAGGTATTGAACTTTAAGCTGAAATAAAACTTACTAAAATTATGTTAACGTCATGATTAAGGCTTTATTGAAAAGGCAATTTTAAGCCATTATAGCTTAACTATGATTTGGGGTATAATGCGCAGCGGCTTGCTCGAATAAAGAGCAATCTGCATATTCCAATTTTCGGCCACTTCCAAACTTCTTCCAGACCATGAAGCGCAAAAGACAGTGAGGTTTTCTGGATATAACGGGGTCTCAATAATTAATTTTGGATCTTCATCGCTCTAAATCCGGCAACTTTGTTTATTTACGCAACTATTGAGGCAAAAACGATTATGTCGACCATAAATTGAACGTAGCGCACGGGGAGTTTGGCGAACTGAACAGCGATTTTCGAAATATATTGCCGAATTTAGAGCGACAAAAATCCAAAATCCGAAAGGCATTATTGAGACGCCGTTATATCCAGCAAAACTCACTGTTTGATGTGTTTTTTATTGTCTAGTGGAATCAAAATGGTCGGAAATTTGACTCTTCATTTGAGTCAGCCGCGGCGCCCATATGCCCCAAATCATATTTAAGCTATATTGGCATACAATAAATACAATTGTTTTTCGAATAAAGCCACTATGCCTCTAAAAAATGGATCCATTAGAATCACATGATCTCTTGGTTTTAAGAAACATATAGACTTTCAATTAGTTAAATAGGATGAATATGTTAATCTACAAACAATTTATTCCTCTAAAGAAGAAGCCTTTATCATCAATAGAAGCTCGTTTAAATTTTTGAATATTATTAGTTAGTAATTAATTATTATAGTAATTTAACAGAAATCTGTTGCAAAATTTAATTAGCTGTACCCATTGCTTAACTATGCACATTAGCCGATAATAAATGCCAACATTTAAAATTATGCAATCGAAATTAATTATAATTATCCCAAAGCTAATTTTGATTCAAATGACATGCATAATATATCACATTAGAGATTTTTGTTTATTTGTGTAGTAGTTCTCATTTAATCCCAATTACAATTGACTATATAGCAATCGTCAGGTTACAGTTATTCATAATAATAATACATATAATTAACATATATGTTTTTATGTTAACTGGAGGCAACATAGCGACTGAATGTGAATATCGCTCATTACTACATGAGAGGTTTCCATTAGACGCGTTCAATACTAGATAGAGAATGAATAAATTATAATTACATATTAAATTTCTTAAGACGTCCGATAGTTCAATAATGGAGTTTTTGACCAAATAGCGATTTCTCGATGTTGAATTAACGTATCTAAAAGCAGCTATGCCAATTGCTGGTTATCGATTATACTTAACATATTTATTGATGTAAAAGGACACAAATTTGAGTTAATATTTTTCGAGAGGCATAGTATTTGCCACTAGATGTTTGGAATAAATATTATTGTTTGAAAACTTTTATCAAGAAAAAAGAAAATATTTATTTTTATCAGCGGTTAGTCTTCCTTCTTTTTTCTTACTAGCGTCACCTACATTCTTCAAAATATCGACAATTTCTATGTTTTGGAATATAAGACAGTGTTACTCAGGTCAGCTAGGAACTTAAAAATGACGTTCTTGCGACGTTACCGTGCCCATCTTGGTATCTTTTGGTAGCCTGCTAATTTAATTTAATTGTATATACTTTCCTGACTGTGTTTCAATTCCCAATCAAATTCATTCCTGGGTTTCAGTCATTTATTGTCTCTATTTATCAATCAAAAATCATTTTTAAATAGAGACAATAAATAACTGAAACCCAGGAATGAATTTGATTTGGAATTTAATTTAATGTAACTAAGTTTTTTACCTTTCAGGTATAATCAGGAAACAAACGTTTTCTGGTGAGTGAGTGTTTTGAAAATGACCTAACTATTTGAGTTATTAATTAATATTGAATATACCGGGTGGTACCGTTTTCGTTACATCCATTTGAATAGGGAATCGCAGTCGAAATAAAGTGTACTAATGCGTCTTAAAACATTTCATGAGACACTATTGAGATATTATTTTATGAATAACAGTTATAAACTGAAATATCGGGTTCTGATACAACCTAAAACAATATTAATGGACATTTCTTTTCTTTATTCTGTTCGTATTGAATCATCTTTACATTAGAACATCCTTTAAAACGATGTGCCATTGACCCCCCCTGACATCTACCCGTCCTAGGGGGTTGAAACAAGGAGGCTAAAAATATTAATTTAAAGTGTCCCCTTTACAAATAAAATTTACGGGTCTTTCCGATTTTTCATATTTTAAACTGCAAGAAAGATATTAAGGGTGGGAAGTTTTCAAATTGACACCCGGTATATTTGTAATAACAGGGTGTCCGCAAAAGATGCGACCAACACTCAATGAGGCAAGTCTACAGCAAAAATGAGTGTGACAAGTTCCTATACACAGTTTTGGTAAAACTCAATAATAACGGATCTACAGGCTGTTAAACTTAGATTCAATTTTTTTTTCGAAATAACTAGTTTGTCGGTTACCGGATTGTTTTAAAATTTGCCACACTTATTAGTTATGATAATTTGTATTATTATGCAAAGGTTGATAATTACCCGTTAATGATAAGGAATTTAACTCACCCATGTTACCTACTTAATAACTTGAACTTTTTAATACGTGTGAAGTTTTCAAATTGATACCCCACACAGTATAATTATACTGCTGAGTTTTCGTTATTTCACAAATAAGAGTTGTGGAAATTCATTTCATGCAGGAGCTAATTGGAAATTTGAAATAATTCAAATTTATTTGATCTTTTCAGAGTCCCAAGAAAGTATCAATACGTAAGTACTTGTTACGGAAGTGAGCGATCTTTTAAAAGCAGCTGTCTCTGCTAGGAGACACTTCGAGACAGTGCAATTTTGCAATAGATTTGAATGTAGAATATGCTTTCAAAGCTTAGCAGAATAAATTGAGATCACACTGTATATAAGGGAAATAAATAGTGACAGCAGACTGTTTATTTCCGGGTAATTTAATCTAATCCCATATAAAGCGCCGGTTTACATACTGTCATTTCCATGCTAAATCCCGGCTTAATCCTTTGAAAAAAAAAATGGCCCGGCGAGCGTGTTTATTGGTGTCAGCTCTGAAAACTTGTATTTCAGCTGAATATATCAGGCTGATTTATTTAGCAATGTTTTTTTCAATCATTAAATCCTGGTTCTCCATCACTACTATTAAATTATTGACAATGCTGTAGTAGGTGGAAAAGGTTAAAAGCATTTTGCTTAATTGGGAGAATAAGATTTCAACGAATAAGCAGGTAAAACTGAAAATTTGTCAGCGAATGAACTACTTTTCCGCATTAGTCATAACTTATTAGCTTGTGACTGATTAATTAAATAATGTGATAAATTTAAAGCGATTATTTCAAACAGTTTTATAGGAAATGCGTTTGATTTAAATGTTTTATGTTGATTTTTTAGTTTTTAATTTCGTCTGGTTAAATTATATCTTATAAAACTAAGAAGAGTTGAATAGTCTTTTGCATTTTGCTACTACCACCAGATATTACTTTTTATGCGGATCGCTGAGAACTATTTTTATCACAACATTTGACACACATTCACAACTTGACCTTTTTATTTTTTTAATCTTATGGACGCAGAGCAGGGGCGTGTAGAGGACCCCAAAACAAATCGAGTTTTTATTTAGTTTTGTTTCTCGGGCCCATGGCTAACGACATACAGGGTGTTAAAGTTTCAAAAAAATGTTGGTATTTTCTCTTTAACTCCTGCAGTTTATGAGATATTTTACAAGGAGTTCTTTTTTCTAGAGGCATACCCCCTTTTGCCCCCCGAGCTTTTTTATGGTGCGCCACTGACTTCGACCGAACACAATTTTGCACAATTTGCTGTTCAATTTAAGAATTTTGTGTTTAACGAGATACAATGTTTAATTAACATTGTATCTCTTTAACCATGGGCCTGAGAACAAAAACTTAAATGGAAGCTGGACTTGTTTTGAGGTCCTCTACATGCCCCTGCTCTGTGTCCATACGGTTGTAAATCACCCTGTATATTATGCATGCTAAAATAATTATGTTTTATATAAATTACCTGTGCCTGTATTTCTTGTAAAACGGGACCAATGCACTACGTTATTATACCTATATATTTTGGTTCTAAGCAAAAATATATTAATTTAAGCTATTAATAAAATTTTAATATGACTAATTAGTAATTGTTTTAAATGTTTTCGTTTATTATCGTACAGCGGCTTTCCTAACAAAATTATATTAGGAGAGCTGAAAACTAAAAAATTAAAGGCGTCCATGAACACGTAAGTGTTTATAACGACTTCTTGCATATAACATTTTTAGCAAAAAATTTGTAACAAAAATATATAAATTCTACACATATATAACACAGTGCATATACATAACAGTAGTTTTTATCAATAAAAATGAGTATTTTCTTTGTGCATTTTAAGTGGAACAGCAGTTTTATCATTACAATATGCCAGGTATCCATTCCAGCGACATATTAAAAATATAATCAATAATTTAAATTGTTACTTGGAAATTGTCGTTTTAAGATAGCATTTTTAGAACTGAAAAATTAATTTTACTTTTCTAGTTAAAAGTGACTAGATACACGAGAAGAATTAGAGTAACCTTATAAGTACTTTAACTAAACTAAGAAGGATTCCAACTACTAATGGAAAATCACTGACAATAGTTTCATCATTAAATTACCTGCGACAGAAGCTTACCTGCTATTAGGCATTCATTATCCATAATATCGCCGGTGAATTTCCTTTAACTAACAGAGCCGGAATTACACGACATGTTTAAATCTACAGACGAAATGAACGACACTTTGTATAATATTTTTATAACAATTTTATGCCTTGATATGCCATCAACTCCTAACCAAGAGAATTACAGCAGAAGTTGAGACAATCTCAACATTTTCTTGCCTTAAAATTTGCGTAAACCATATTTAACCTGAATCAGCCATAATGCGGAAAGATCCATTAAAATACTTTTTCAGAATTGCTTTTTGATTTATTGAATTGAATAAGAAGTAACTTCGAGGAAGGTCTTCATTGATTCAATTAGATCACAAAAAATATTCTCTGGCTACGGCAGGCTGCCGCACCTCAAGTCTCATTAAATTTTATTTTGCTTTTAAAAGCGTCGCTTATTTGCTTATTTTTTATGGTAACTGATGGGGCAGAAAACGTGTAGTTTGCAACAGCGTTTGAAATTCAACTTTGCTTCGGGTGAGGAGCATCTATTTGTTCCGTGAAATTAGACAATTATTTAGGTGATTCCAAATTTTCGTAAGATTTTATTAAGGTTCTTGAAAAAAACTTTATATATGTATTGATAAGACATATCAACGATTTTTTGTTGTGTGTAAGTACATTTTCAACTTTGTTTGTCAGTGATTTAACAAAAAGTTTCACAAATAGGATTCTATGGTATCTTCATCAATTGTAATAACACGACTAACGCGGAATAAGCCCTATTGGCTTTGTTGTATAAGAATATATTGAAGATTTACGATTGTCCTGCATCTAAATGCTCTTCTTCTGATGAGTAGATTTGTGATTCCGCCAAAGAAGATTGCTTGGATAGCGACTACGGAGGAAAAATATATCAGTATTAATTATATACAAACAAATGGAAAAGTAAAGTTTTAATATAATTTTAACAGCGCTTCAAAGTTTAACACAGAAATATCGAGAGCCTTTGTAACAAGTCTCTATACACAAAATGCTCAAACAGTGGTTCCAGTGTAGCGTTTTCAAACTTAATTGTTTCTTCAAGATGGAACGTTGGATTTGAGATTAAAGGAGAGCCTACAATATTAACATTAGCATAAATTATCACTATCCAGGTTTCATAAAACGACCGTGGAAAATATCCACATCAATCGAACAGATGCTATTAACACTTAAATACAGATGAATTGAAACGCAGCATAAATAAATACAACATCGAAATTATTTCCCTTAACTTAGAAAGCTTTATAAATCAAATTACAGAGTCATTAAAAAATGCATCCCAGAAAATTGAGCAAAGGAATAAACTTTCAAGACAAAATAGATCACAATAATACCATGAACATCTAAATGCTTGCTTCAACTTAGCAAGCTAAAAATCAAAAAGGTATAGTGGATTGGATAACGAAATATGACGCCACATGGGCCTACTTTTTATTAAAACTTTCTCAAAAATTTCTCGCATTGATAGACTGGAAATACCCGAAAATGTGTCTGCCGAAAACTTTCACCCGGCAGCGCCAAACGCCTTTAAATTTATTCTTATTATATATTATTATTTAAATTTATTATATTTAATTAAAAAATCAGCCAGTAGAATATATTTGAATCGCAAATACAGTATACTGGCGGATAAAGATGTTCGAGGTGCCAGAATCAACAAAAACCACATCCGTTGTTCTTATAGCGAAAATTTCAACAATAATTATAGTAACAGTAATAGACACAGTAAATACAGTTTACTTAATAATTTGTCTCATTTTTCAGAAAATGATAGTCAATAATAGTAACATATGAATAAAATAAAAAAATCGAGACAAGGGTGTCTTGACGCAATGTCAACGGGGTTTAAAACCCTACCCCTGAAAAACCTCGTCGATTAATTATTACACAAAACGGAACGAAGGGATTCAGGATTTTTAGATGCCGATTTTTGTCACGTGTTTGAATTCAGAAAAAGTGGAGATTACCAACAGGACCTGAATGGTGGCGTGTTTGAGAACTTGTGCTCTTTGTTTCACAACGAACTGAGCCGGGTTAAGTTGCAATTATACACAATCCGCCTTGTTACCTTCGTCCAACAAAACAAACCTTTTTTCCTTCATGGCAAAGGAGTTTCATTAAATTGGGGTAGATGTTAAAGAGCAGTAGATTTGAGCAAACAATGTTTCGAAATATATTTAAAAAATGTGGCCAAACTGTGTAAATTAATAACGGTTTCTTAACGAAAATTGCGTGCAAGGCTTATATCACGATGTATCTTAGTTTTCATCAGGTGGGTGTAGCATGCTGTAATCCAAAATTCCTATTTTGCAACATTTGTGGATGAAATTGCTGTATACAGCTTCCACCGGAAAGGATATTTTAGTGCAATGTCACTTTTTGGTCGGCTTGAAAGATTTCAGCGTATTTTGAACTTCCGCTGTTGGGTCTAGTAGGTTTGGCATAACTGTTGGCTTAAAAATGTGTTTGAAAATATATAGTATCTATGAAATCGCTGACAGATATAAGTAAACAATAAATCACTTTGTAATATCTAGTAATATCTGTATCTGTAATAAATGCCTTAATATTATTTTGGATTTAAAAAGTTCTGCTTCCTATGCTTCTTATAATAATCAAGGCAAATATCTAGGTAAACGCCATACGACCTTAAAAAGATGATCCAACATACCAACGCTGTTAAAAATGTTGTTTTCTAGCTAAATATTTTTCTTACCTCCTACACAAAACTCATTATATTTTAAAAGGCGAAGGAACGCTCACGAAAGCAAGATAGGCTAATCCTATAAGGAGATAAATGTTACGGGCGTGAGGGACAAAGCAAGCTAAAACGATTCGTATTCTTATCCAATATACGAAAGTGGGTAATAAAATATACGGTCCTGAATCTTTTGAGTATCTTTGAGTAGAGCAAAATTTCTTACCTTTACCTGCTGAAGTCTTCTTCGGTTAGGAGGTGACCTCTTGTTCCAAAGAGCTTCCAATTGATCAAAGTGCTGTGACTGCGCCAGTGAAGCTTGTTTCGATCCCATTCCCTATAAAATAGATTTTTAGTAGTATGCAGGTTTCAGGGTTATTAAACAGTGCAGTCGAGTGTAAAATTGCTGCAACAGATTAACTAAACATTTTAATCGAGTTAGTTTAGGTAATTGCATAGGAAATGAGCTATAGATTATTTAGAGTGAGGGTGCTTCAACTAGAAACACTCATTCTCTCTTAACAGGAGTAGAAAACGCTTTTCAGGAGTTGATGAATGGATAAAAAATACAAGACAAAAGCTGAACATTGTGCTAATGAAGTGCTGTCTGTACTTTTGGCACAGTCCCAACACACAAAAAAAACTTTCACAACAAAACTTATTAAATTAATTACGACTTTTATATTTTATTTTATTTTAATTAATTAATTTAATTAGAGATTAAAGAAGAAGATTAAAAACATTAACTTTAATGTCAATAATCTAAGTTTATCATAACTCATGCATATGTTGGTCTTTAAAAAACTCAGTTTCTACGGCTGTACCGATCGTAACTTGTGTTCATAAAATTTTTCATTGATGATTCAGGACAGTATGTATGAACATATACATCACACAAAGTAGTCACAATGCGATCATTTTATCAAGTTTTGACGATAGTTCTTAAGCGATGTTACTGCAGATGTATAGAGCCATGGAAATTGAACTATAAAAATGCGAGAAATCGTAAAGTATTTTTTTTGCGGACTGTTCTCCCAAAAGTTGGTCTATGAATCGTTTTCTTTCCTTTGATATTTGAGCGGAAATTTTTTACAAATAATGAAGAAGTGGAGCCAAATAGACAACGAAGAAAAGAAGACTTGGAAAGAAACGGGAATAATTAATACAATAAAGTAATACATTGGCCACACATAATGCTCCATCGATAGAAACTTTTTGCTAGTGACCAACCAGAAATAATTTTAACTAGCTACTAGAAAAAGTAAGTTTCTGTGGGATAAAAGAACGATATAGTCGATTCCTAGCCACTGTCAACGATAAAGCAAAATACGTAAGTTTAATGGAATTTTGAGCCTGTATAATAAATAATACCCTGTAGATCGACTCAATAACCACAACGAAAACACATAATTCCAATAAAATCTTCCACATGATCAAAATAGGTAATAAAAGTAAATAATTATATACGCCACTATTTTAGTCACAAATATGTTAAAAAACGCTGAAATAATGTGAAATATAGAAATAAAAGCTGCAATCTACTATGGATGCAAGTGGTAGAGTAAAAGTGAAGAACTATGATAGATATAAAAAAATTGAAAGGAATGTTAAATGTAGCCACAAATGCAGTAGGAATTTTTTTAATTATCAAACAAAGTGGTGTAACAAAATCATCCGAATGACTTAGAAACAGTTATTATAGGTTAATGTGATTAAATTTCTCGCAGCGAATGTTGCGAGCTACAAGCCAGTATTCCAGAAAGAAGAGCCCTTGATTATAATAGTATAAGATGATATATTTCATTAATATCTATTACTACTTTATTGAAATAGATATTTTTTGGAATAATAAACTCACATATAAATATTGTGCTTGTTTAATTCTAACGCAGAATTTTTCATTGCTACTTTACCACTTATTGTGTTTAAAAATCAATCTACTTTTCTCACATAACAAGATCATACTGATACTCCAGAATACAAGACCTGGACAAGAATTTATAAGATACGATGTTCAAATTAGAGACTGGCGGATTTTTAAGAAGGCAACCATTACGAAATGATAACTAATTTATCGCTTCTTTTCGGAAGAATTACTTGTTTAGTACTGAACAAATCAAAGTAAGTGTTAAAACAGTAATAAGAAGACTGAAGAAGGTCGGCTTAATTCGAAACTTTTATCGAAAATCTCTAGATTTCTCTCACGGGACAGGTTTAGAAAGTTTAAATTTGTAAGAGTCCATAATAATTGCAATGGACATCAATGGGAAAAATATTTTTATAGATAAAGCAAAAATAGAATAAAATGCTCCAAAACTTTTCGCCGAATCTAATCTTGTACAAAAGAGTAGCTTTAGTAGCAGTCGAACTGTTTTGCGGAGGAAATAGGTTTGATAAGATGCAATACATTTTAGTGCATGTTTTAGTTTCGGAACCTTTGTCATAAGGAAGTCACTGACAATTTTGATTATTATATGTTTTGTTTAACTTCTGACGTCCTGACGAAAATCCAGTAAAACATCTATTAAATATCCCAAAGTGATATATACGAGTACAAAATCCACCTCCTAATTCAATTGCCGCGTGAAGAATGGGGTCGGTTTCTGCCAGAAAGCAATCAAGATCTTTTGCGGAACGTGTATTGGAGGATACAGGCCATCGTTAGTAGGTTAGAAATATGAACAGAAATACTGTGCAGTAAATTATAATTTTCTTGTCTTAAAATATTTGTATAATTTACGGCAATTTATATTACTGAAAGCCTTTCTAGTCGAATTTTTAAGCCGCAAACAGTTGTTTTTTTACTAGCATTATTACATCTACCACTTACGAAACGAAAAAAGCGTTAAGGCAAAAATGATTCTAAATAAAAATATGTGCATTTCAAATCGGAGTTGTATTTTTTAAGATGAAACTAACGATCTTGACGACGTCTATTAAATGCTCTCTATTACATGCGTAATCCACTTTTATGATAGTTTAATTCAAGCGGTTCTGCAATGCACTTTATATGCAAAATATTAATTTTTGTTCGCGTAAGTCTGAGAAAACTATCCGTGTGGTTAGCATGTGTTGGTCTTAATGCAAACTTACCTTTTGATCATTTTGTGGAATCTTCGAGATTTCCTCCATGCTTGCGGAAACAGAAAAGCGCCTTTTAAATCTCTCATCTATTGAAGGAATCACTAGATTTGAGGTGAGATGGGCATATTTCTTTTGCCACGTGTACGTGTCAAGGGACACTTCCTTTTTAAGTAGTCTTTTCATTTGACGCTTCGGAGCTGGTTTCGGATCTATATAGAAATAGTGAAAAGTATGTATAATTGCGATTCAGTTCAACGACTTACTTTCAATCATTTCCTTATCGGGTGCACAGTAAGTGGGCAATTTCACGTATTTGGCTGGAGTGTTGTGCAAACAAATTATTGGACTATATTGAGTATCTTTGAGTAGGACAGCTATTCTGGAAAAGTCGGATGTAGGTTCAACACCAACTATTGCATAATGCAGCTGCAGGGACGTCAGTTGCAAACCTTGCTTTGTGTCCCAGATTATTATATTTGTATCTTCTGAACCTATATAATATAATAGCAATATTATATACATCAGTCGGTCGACAGATAATTGGAAGGTTTTCAGTATTCATTATAATTTTAGAACAGACATAAACAATTAATGGCTCTGAAAATTTTATCAGATATGATGAGGGTAAATCACAGTCAGGACATGCCAATTAAGTTAAGGTACAAACATATACATACAAACTAAATTTGAAAAAATAGAGTCATAAATGTTAAGGCCATGGCAAAAAAATGTATTTTGAAGTTACAATTACAAGTATTAGAAATATTTTATACCTCAGACTGCGTCTTTTCTCAATTTAAAAATTTCGTCTCAACATAGTTAACTCTATTTCAAAAGATAAATCTGTGTCTATAAATATGTCCTGTATTTTAGCCGTGAATAGAGAAAATTACATTTCCGAAAGTTTGGTAGTTGACCCAGAAGTTTCCAGACCCGAATATGATCCAATTTTTGAAAGTTTTATAATATTTTGGTCAAGCCAAGTTATTGTGCAAGAGTTCTAAAATCTAAATTTAGATCTGACTATTATCTTCGATGTAAGTCAAAAATGACCCCGTTACCCTTAAACCTTACCTGAAATAACGATAGAGCCATCTCCGCTCATTTTACAACAACTGACAATGTTCAAATGGGCGGACAACGTATGTAAATCAGCCCCTGTATTAATGTCCCAGACGATTAAATTAGTATCACAACTGCCTGAAACTACATGTGTTTTATCCGACACTGACACAGCAACACAAGTAACGCAGTCTGTATGTCCAATGAGAACCTAGGAAAGAAAAATTGAACTTAACGATTAATATCAATTAACTATCACACTATAAAAACTTATCTAGTTGCAACAATTAGATATGTTTAAAAATGCATGATTTCTCATGCACGATGATTGGAAATTGGTGAAATTGGTGATATTGAGACAAATACAGATTTTTCTTTTAGATTTCTGAAATGAGAAAGGTTCATTCTAAATTTCAACTTTGTTATTAGTAGTACTTTCAAAAATAACTCAGTGACCATTTTTTATGGAACAGTGCAACTGAACATTTTAATAAGAATTGCTCTCATAATTCGCCATTAGTTTCAATTAGCCATTAGCTCAATGAAAACATGAAACTCGTAAAAAATATGAGATTTGCAAACATTGTGCCTTGTGTGTTTGTTTCTGTTTATACAAAAGACATGCTGGTGTAATAGTCGGCAGTAGTCGCATGTTAAATAGTATAAATTTGTATTGCGTTGTTATTGCAATGCAAATTTTCGCATATAATTTAAGCGCCCAAATTTTAAATCAAAGACTTTCCTCAATAACATTAAAATAATCTCACATAATTATAGCTATTGTGAAAAATATCTATTAGAATAAATCTAAAGCACAAGATTAACCTGTCCAGATTTTATCACCGATATAAGTCATATCATTTATGATTAAGCGTATTATAACGCTAATATTTTCAGGCTTCTAATGCTCTACAGCAAAATGCACATTCACTGATTGTGGCTTAGGTGAGTTTAACCATTAAAACCCCATTGCATGCGAACTCAGAAAGTCTTGAATGGGAAATGCATGACGGCATTCGAAACTTATTCACATTTTACGATTTTCCTTATCAATATAAAATTACTATTTTTAAAGCTCAAATTTTTCTATTAGAGTAATAAGTTTACGAAAATATCACTGACTTTTTAATAATGTTTATATTCGGATATTACCTTTTAAATATGATTTTCGTGAAATCAGGAAGTGTCCCATATTTTCGATATCTATTAAAAATGGATATTGCCGTCGAAAGTACGGCTGTTTCGGACTGTATTAATAATTCATCATTGTTATCGAAAAAATGTTTCTGGAAATAAAATCTTTGAAAAACAATGTGACAGATATGACGGATACATATAATAATTAGGAATACTAACAAAAATTGAATTTTTGCAACATTATTATTCTATAGAGAATGTCTATGCATGAATAATTCTTTACTTTTGTATACTCGACAGTTTTGTCAATGATGTATAATAAAAAATCTATTTCGGAATTAGTATTCAGTGTTCATTCTTTATGCAAAGTTTATTTTTTATGCAGTCTAAGACAATCTTTAATTTTTAAAAAAATACGAAAATTGTTGTTAAATACAGAATCAACTTTGAATCTTTGAATTATTTAAATGCCTCGTACATCTTCTGTTTTTACCCCGTTTAATTCCCCGTGATTATGTTGACACCTTTCGTCCTACTTTCCTGCAGTTAAGGTTTTTAATTAAATATCAGCTAATTAATTAATGCGCGGATTGTTCCGGTTCAACTAAAGAACTAAGAATAATACCTATCAATGGCAATTTCATGAGGAAAACCTTTGGCGTTGCCTTTTAAGGTAGAATATCTTATTTAAATTATTTTCTTTCTGGCGGTTTTTCGTTTTAAAATTGTTTAAGATGCATTTACATTAAAATGTAAAACCCAGGCATTGCTTTAAAGCATTCGTTTAGGTATTTAAACAATTTGTGGGTAAATAAGTGCATCGGAAATCTCATAATATAAATAACAAATTCACAGTATGACAAACTGGTGTGTGAGGTGGTTTACAAACACTCAATTATAAAATATTTAGAAAACTGACCATGTTTTCCATGAGTTATTTGGTAAAGTTAGTAAACCCATGATTTTTTTTATGGCTAGCTTTCTTATATGCTTGCTGCAAAAGTTCTTTTTTAATTGTAGGTACGATTTTTAATGATCCTGCGGCAAATATTAAGTTTACACGATATGTACGTTTCATAAAAAAGTAATTTGAATCGGTTATACAATTTTACGAAATAATTCAATAATTTTTACCTGAAGATCAGGAACAAACTGAAACATACGGTTATAAAAAACCGGCCTAGAATTTTGCATTAAAATTCGACTAAAACTCAGAAATTTAGGACGATTTTAGAACTAATTTCCCTGCCCGGCTTTCGCAATTAGAGGTTAACCTGGCTTATTAGAGACTTTCGAAAATGTTTGAAAATTATCTTGAAATTGCTCTTTTATAGGGGCGTATGATGATTGACATGATTGTGTTGAGTTAATCGATATGCCATACATTTTTACTTTCAACTATTATATTCAATTTTGGTTGGGTTGTAGGTTTAATATAGTTTAATTTGGGGCGGTTGATTCTATAAAATTATGCCAGTAAATACAGTTAATTAACTAAAGTTATTTAGTCCTTAACTAGCAATTAAATATTGCTCTGCTTGCCGCTCATTTCCATAATTGCGTCGCTATAATTAACCATTGTAAACGTGATGTGTAACTCTTTCAATATTAGTTGTAGATGACCGTTGTAAAATCACCGACTACGAATGAAAACACAATACGAATGAAACAGTGCCAGATTGTTTCCAGTGTCCGTTATTTAATACAGACATATTCAAAATACCAAGTTAGCGTCAGAATTCCAAAGGGTTAACTCTAGCCCCTAGATAGTACAAAGTTAATTGATTAATTTCCGAGCATAATGGAAGAAATGGTCAGAGTTTACATTTCAAAGCTGTTACATTCCATAGTGGTGAAAGTCCAATCAATATATTTTTAATATTTTCTAACTAGTGACATAACTTCTAGCACGGCACTAACTATTGAATTGAATTTATATAGTGTATACGTAGCGGTGTCCACTTGAAACAGACAACTTGAAATTGTTAGGAAAACTTAGTTATCACTGCCGCATAGTAATTCTGCGGCAAACTACCAACATTTCAGATTGTTTCTCCATAATGAAATTGCATGTGCAAGTCCTAACTTTAGATTCCGTTCATCTTCTTTGGTTAAAATTGTTGTTATTTCACTAATACGATCAGTAAAGTTACCATCAAGTGGCGAAAAATATAACTTCCAACTCAGCATGTTTTTATATTCTACACCCAAAAGGAAATTGCTTTTATTGTTGTAAATATGCTCAGCAAACTTACTGTCAAGTAATACAAGAAGCAACTCCCAAGTAAAATCCCCGGCTAATTAAAACACACCTTTGGTCTCTCTAAGAACTGGCATGCTGATAATTGGCGTTTAGCTTGATTAAGAATCACCCTTACGATAATAGAAATACGATACTATTTTTACGCTAGTGTATTAAAAAACGAACAAATTGCATGTACGTGACATAATAAAGTTACACAACAGTTGGGAACGAAGCTAATAAACGCCAATTACTCGTTTAGTTTCGAGTTTAAAGGGTTACAGCCAGAATACACGTGCTGAGCCATTGTTAATTTGCGCTTAATATATTATTGATATTGGCTTTTCTTGAAGTATTTTCATAAATATGAATGGTTTATTTGATGAAGCCTCAATTACGAAGCTATTTATTGATAGATTCGGAATAGAGAATCGCAATTTTTGAAATAATTTTTCTGTTCAGTTAATTTTCTGGCGTTCCATGTATATAAACTAGGTAATTGCAATTTGAATATAGGTTGTTACAGATTCAATCACCTGCTAATGCTAATTCTCTGGCTAATTTCAGGTCAGTCAGCATACTAATTTCGATTGGGTCATGATATTATTTAAGACAAGTGGATACAAGGTAAATTGTTGTTTAGACCAGAATTGTAGAAGTTGTTTTGAATTTTCCGCAAATTTCACGCAGTTCCATATGCAATAGAATTTTTTTTTATTATAAAAACATTTATGAGAAAATTATTTGTGTCTGACATTTTTGCACATGATGCACATAAGGTTTACCTGTGTAAAGTACGTTTTCTCAATCAGGAAAAGTAAATCTAATTATTTAAGCCAATATAATGAATCTAACCGAAGAAGCATTTTGAACAGATGAATTAATAATAAGTGCTTTAAAGTGTGGCGTCATTTAAAGCTGTACCAGCTTTTCAAATGTATTCTGCCGAATTACCCATTTTTTAGGATTAAAACTACACTGAGGTGTCAGTCGACAACATTTAAAAGTTTACCTACACGATGGGGCTCACGTTACAAAATATACTCGTTTCTCGGTTAGAACTTTCTTAACTCAACCTGACTTAAATGTTGGACCGAGGTTGTATTTCCAGGAAACGACTTATGGAAGAATTTTTCTCATTCATTCACGCAAAAACTAATAATTAAAATAATTTTTACGTCCATGCAAAGTCAATTGAGAGCCGCCAACAGTCAACCGACATTTATTTTTTATATCGTCTCAATTAACTTTGACTACTTCACTCAACAGAAATACATATGGGAGTTTTAAGTAAACATCTGTTAACCCTTTTGAGAAATTATAATCTCGTTCCACTAAACATATACGAGTATAAGAAAAACAGCGTCAAATGTTCAAGAAACGGAACATAATGTTTGTTGATATTTATTATAATTTTGCATTAACAAGTAAGTAATATCATTATGCAATTGTTCATCCTGATTACTTTATTTAACATCACCCTTTTTCTCTCTGCGTTCTGAGTATTCAATCGTGCTTTCTTGAAAGCACACACAGCTAAAAGTGCAATTTTTCTAAAGCACGTGGGTGGTCAAATTCAAGAATAGCATAGAACAAGGAAATTATGGGAATAATCCTATTTGAAGCTGGTACTATGCATTCGGTTTCATTTTATAATTTTCCTGCATCGTTAATGCAAATTTAATAATCCCATACACATGCTTATATTAAATAAACAACGTTTTTGTAAAATAAATACCCATAAATAAAATTAAAGTAAAATAGGAAATTGAATAAACGAATTGCATTTGGCGTCGAATTTTGAAAATACTCCAATTCATATTTTTAGAACA